TCAAAAATGTAGACAGAGTCACACAAACATACACACACACACAACAGCACGCAGCGCACGCACGCACACACACACACACACACACACCAACCGATAATTTTTCTTCGTTGGAAAGGTATGACTATGATCCGAACGACGATGGCTGTGATGATGCCAGCACCCAGGCTTATAACTAGAACTCCCCAAAGAGGAATTTTATGGAAGCCCAAAGCTGTTTGAAGAAGAAAATTATACTTTTTAAACCACCACCATCATCGTCATCATTATCATCATCTCCACCATCATCATCATCCTCGCTATCATTATCATCAACAACCTTTAGGCCCTTCGAAGAAGATAGAAAATAGATTGACCACAATCGTAACTGCATAGAACATAGGTAGGAACCTTAGACCTGGCTCTATCGGATCTTTCTGGAATGAATGAGTGAATGAATGAATGAATGGATGAAAAAACGCAAAATGGATGTACCTACTTAAGTTCGTATATATGTATGTATGTATGTATGTATGTATGTATGTATGTATGTATGTATGTATGTATGTATGTATGTATGTATGTATGTATGTATGTATGTATGTATGTATGTATAAATGAATGAATGAATGAAATGAATGAATGAATGTCTGATCAGATGAATGAATGAGTAAATGATTTAATGGATGAATGCATGAATGGACGAATGACTAAATGAATGAATGAATGTATGAATTAATTGATTAAGTTATCCATAAGTGAATGACCTCTGACCTTTGTAAGGATACCATACTTGCAAAGGTAGAAGAGGCCGCACGACACGATGCCCGAAAGAACTGGCGAGACAAACCACGAGGCCACTAATGAATAATAATAACAATAATAACTATAATAATAATAATAATAATAAAAAGAATAAGAAAAAGAATAAAAACAAAAAAATAATAATAACAATAAACATAATTGGCATCAGTGATCACAGGAACACTCAGCAGATAAAAGAAACAAATTATGACACTTAAAAAATTGAAAAAAAGAAAGACAGATGGAAGAGAGAGAGAGAGAGAGAGAGAGAGAGAGAGAGAGAGAGAGAGAGAGAGAGAGAGAGAGAAAGAGGGAGAGAGAGAGAGAGAGTGAGAGAAAGAAAAAGGAGAGAAAAAAAAACAAAATAGCAAAAAAAAAACAATAAAAATGTTCTTTTTCTCCACCTAAAGCAAACATGCCTCAACAAAAGAAAACAAGAAAAAAAGACATGGAGTACACAAACGCGGGCACATCTGAATAATAATAATAATAATAACAATCTTTCCATTCAGTTTTAGTTCTTAATAAGTTGCCTGCATTACATAAACAAATAAATAATCTGATACACAAAACTCGGGCTTTAATGAATGATAAAACTGACCAACATAACACACGAACTGACCTATATAAATCAGCTGTTTCCATTGGATGCCAGTGGTCCCAGAGGCTACCAGGGCAAACCCTATGGTGGCCCCGACGACGCTGTGGGTACCGGAAACGGGCATTTTGAATACGGTGGCCAGTATCAGCCAGAGGCATGACCCTGAGAGGGCGCGATGATGATGATTATGATGATTATGATGAGTATGATTATGATGATGATGACGGCTGAATTCAGTTGAATTCGTGAAAAAGAAACAAGCCAAAGATGATGGCAGAATATGACAACCACAACATGAAAATCATGACAGAGTAGATGTTTATTTATTACATTGTGAGAATAATGAATTCAGTTGTTAACATTATTCACATATTTGCCAGTTAAAACCATAACAAAACAATGCACACACACACACACACACACACACACACACACACACACACACACACACACACACACACACACACACACACACACACACAGACACTAACAAACACACAGAGACATACAGACACACAGAGACATACAGACACACACAGACATACAAAAAGTATTGCAGATACAATATCAATAACTGGATGTTTTAACAGTAGATACATACACTTCCCAGTTCAATTATGTATGTATGTATGTATATTGTATAATTCTTTGTTTATGTATAATTTATGTAGCGTGTGTTTGTGTGTGTGTGTGCGCGTGCGTGTGTGTGTGTGTTTGTTTGTGTGTGCGTGCGTGTATGTAGAGTAATTGGTTGCTAGTAATTAGTGTTGCTAATGGCTTTTTACAAGAAAATGTAATTACAATTGATGTTGTCCTAGATGATGATGATGATGTGGGCGATGATAACAATTATAATGATGATGATTATGATAGGAAAGATATAACACCTTCAAAGACAACATCATCGTCATCTTCTTCTTCATCATCATCATCATCATAACAATCATCGTCATCATCAACATCACTATTGATTTCTGCCATTTCTTAAGGTGAGGTAATTAGTTTTTAGTTGTAGAAGATACACGCACCTACACACATTCTATGTGTGTAGGTGCGCTGGCAATTGAAACAAATAATTTTATTTATTTATATGTATAGGTGTTGAAATTTTAATTTTTTAATTGGTATTCAATGTGGTAATTAATTACTTTTAATGGTATAAATTTAAAAAAATAAAATCGACATTACCGAAAATAATTAAAAGTTGAAAAAATTGAGGTTCATTGCATATCCCTGCTTCAACCCATAAGAAAGTGTTGTATATTGGTAAATAGGCCTCCCATTGTGTTTGTTTCGCATTCTTTTCATTATAACCCTCACCATCATCACGAGACCATCATCATCAACTGATCATCACCATCATCATCATCACGAAACCATCATCATCATCACCATCAAATAACCATCATCATCATCACCACCAACTGACCGGATAGGGTAGCGATGTTGCCTAGCATAAGCACCTCGGTCCGGTTGTCGTAGATGGAGATATCAACGATGCCCTTGCGAACCGTGTCCGTGACCTTTGAACCTGGGCGATTGAATGAGTGACTGAATAGTGGAATGATTAAACGGACGAATGGTTGATAGATTGAATAACTGACTGACTGGTTGAATGAATGAATGGCTGATTGATTGAATGTAAGATTGGATGAATGGTTGATAGATTTATTAGTGGGCTGCTAAGAGTACGATTGATTAGGGATAAAATTAAGGGTGAAGGAATTGTTATCATCATTACATTGGCCACAATTGTCATCCTAATCATCATCGTCGTCATCTCATCATTAATGTCCATTAAAATAGGCTACAGATAATAGCTTTGCACTTTGGCAAGCCTTGGGCATAACACATCAATTTCATGTGCCTTTTTTTTGAGAGATATAGATATATATTTATATGAGAAAATAATAACACTAACACACACACACACACACACACACACACACACACACACACACACACACACACACACACACACGCACGCACGCACGCACGCAAAAACACAAAAGAAATCTATAAACAAAAAGCTAAGCATTAACGTCTCATTTGAAATGACCTTCCTTAAATATTCAATGTCACCTTGAATATATATATATATATATATATATATATATATATATATATATATATATATATATATATATATATATATATATATTATGAATATACATTATATTTCAAATATATATATATATAAATATATCGAACATTATAATTAACATAATTTATGCAAATGCCGATATTAATATTCATCATATAGACTTATATATTTATAAATTAAGCTGATTTCTCAATCTTTATTCTTGGACTATAATATCATTACAAGAGGAAAGACAGACCCATATCACAGACAGACACACAAACGAACAAATTTGCATACACACAGACACACACACACATCCATACAAACGAACAAGTTTGTATACACGCAGACACACACAGACACACAAACGCAGACTGGCAATATTTCTATTATACCGAATCTAAAAAATTTTTGCAGCATTAAGTAATGAAATGAAAATGCTGATGAAGAAGACCATGATGTTGGAGCTACTGATGATGATGATGCTATTTTTGTTGATGATAATGATAACGATGATGAGAATGATGACGTCGACAGTAATGAAGATTGTGATCAATCAATCAATCAATCAATCAATCAATCAATCAATCAATCAATCAACCAACCAATCAATCAACCAACCAATCAATCAACCAGCCAACCAACCAACCAAGTAGAACAGCCCCGACCGTCTCGACAACAGAAGCAATGATACAGGCCTGCTTCAGGGTAAGAACCTTCGCCCCAACGGAAGTACCAAACGCATTGGCCACATCATTGGCCCCAACGCCGACAGCCAGTATGAAGGCCACGATGAAACCAGCAACGATGATTAGGATAATTTCCAGTGGCATATCTTCTATGGTGTTCGTTTTTTAACTTTTTATGATGTTTCAGTTAGCGGTGTGGTCGGTTGTATGTACGTATGGGTATTGTATGTATTTTGTGTGAGTTTGTTGTTTGTATTTTATTGTATCCTTGTATTCGAATTGTGTTTTGTATCTCTGTATGTATATCGGAGGATGTATTCTGTAGTTTTTCTGTATAGCATGTACTGGTGCTCAAATGTAGTGTTGTTGTTAGAAGAGTTTTGTATCACACTGCTATAAGTTGTATGGAACTAACTTAATATAACTAAGGTGTGTGGTGTTCAACAGCTATCCCTAATAAGATTAACCAGACAAAGAAATGAAAAAAAAACAAGCAGACAGACAAGAAGACGGACACACACACACAGACAAAGAGACGAATACAAAGACAGACAAAGAGACGGATACACAGACAGACAAATCGACGGTCACAGACACACAACAAAGAATGATTTTATTACTATTAAAACAAATAAAAAACAATTTGTAATGTATGTAGAAATGTTTCACCCCAAAAACAATGAAGAAGAAGAAGAACGAGATTAAAAGTTAAAACAAAAGATTACTTTTAACACTGATGGATGGATAGAAGAAACGAACAAGTGAATGAATGAATGAATAAACAAACAAATGAATGAATGAACAGATGAATGAACGAATGAATGAACTAATTAAGATTCAGATTAAGAACAAAATCTGAAAAAAGGTGCAGAAAAATAAAAATATGATTCTGAAAAGCTTTCTTTAAAAAAAATACAACAACTACTACTACTACTAATATTATTATTATTCTCAAATAACTCATCAACAATTAATTTAAAGAGACTAAAGTTAATTTAAAACTTTCTTATTTTGTGTATATCACATTTGTAGTGTCTGTGAAGAGAATTTTAAAGTGCCACAGAGTGCTGATGATGATGATGTAGATGATGTATATATCAAGATGATGATGGTGGTGGTGATGATGTGGCAATAGCAGCAGTGCTGATGATGATGAGTAGAAATGATGATGATGATAACGATGACGACTATAAAGGTACAGGTTGGCTGCACCTATGATGATGATGATGACTGCAGTTGATGACACCAGGCTAACTGGGGAAAAGTATGAAATCAAACAGTAAACTAGAACAATAAATTGACAAATTCATTCGCTCACTCACTCGCTCACTCACTCATTCACTCAATCAATCACCACACTCACTCATTCACTCGATCAATCATTGAACTAACCAACCAACCAACCAATCAAGCAATTAATAAAAACGAGCTAGTATTAGTAACAATAACACAGCATAGCAAAAAATTAATGCGCAGTGCAATAATAATAACGAAAATAATAATAATAATAATAATACAATGATGATGATGATGTTGAAAATGGTAAACACTTAATAATGAATACTAATTCATTCATTCATTTATTCATCTATTTATTTACTCATTCAATCAATCAATCATTCAATCAATCAAACAAGCAAGCAATTAATTAACCAATTAACCAATTAATCAATTAATAAGCACAATCAAACCCGAACCAACCTGTCATGAGTCAGCAGGTGGAAAGCTGGAAGAAGTTGTAGTTGTGCTAGTAGCGGCTGTTGTAGAAGTGGTGGTGGGTGAGAAGAAGTTGTAGAAGACTGGAGAAATGGAGCTCTTGCAGCAGTTGTAGTAACAGTTGGATTTAGGAATGTTGTTGGAATGGGCCTTGCTATGCATTGTTAATGAATTTATAGCTGTCAAAGTGAAACAAACTGAGATTTGAATTAAATATACAAGAATTATACAAAGGTACACAAAAATATACAAGAGATATACAAAAAATATACAAGAAAGATACAAGATACAAAGTATACCAAAACATATATAAATATATATATATCTATATATTACATACAAATTTACAGTTATGTACATATCAGTAATAGTAATATATACGATGTTAATCTGATATATGCCCGGTATATCTTTAGTAATTTACATACATGTATACATGTATATAATAAGTATTTATAATGTAATAGTAATATACTGTATGAATAGCACTAGTTAAGTTAGTAACATAGTAAAAAAGTTAGAATTACTATTTATACTTAACACATACATAAGTTAAGTAAGTGTAGTAGTAGTAGCAACAACAGTACCATTTAAACATGGTGTCAATGGAGTTAACTGCCATGTAACTGGAGATAATATTATTTTATTAAAGAAATCGTAATTGATATCATAGAGGTTTAACTGAAAGTCAATTTAAATTGTAAAGTGAGATAGAATATTTATGGATAGTATATATATATATATATATATATATATATATATATATATATATATATATATGTTGGTAATAAACCATATATATATATATATATATATATATATATATATATATATATATGAGAATGTTTTTAATAGGCGCTGTATAAATGATCATATAATAATAATAATAATATATATGTGTGTGTTCGCGCGTGCGTTGTGTGTGGGTATTTATCTAGATACTAGTAAAAACAGTCTAAGTAATTGAAGTGATAGAAATACTAGAAAAAGTAGTAGTAGTAGTAATAGTAGTAAAAATGAATAAATAATTAGAGAGAGAAAGAGAGAGAGAGAGAGAGTAGAAGAAAGACACTTTAAAAACTAATTCAATTTAAAATAAGTTATTTATTATTTTATATATATGTGTAGGCTTGTAATGTAATTGAATACTCCCTTAATCACCATCCCAAAATAAAGGCTAATTGAACTATTAGATTAATTTAAATTGAATTAACTAGCACTAGCATGCCTGTCTTACTTACATAATTTCAATTACTTCAACTAATTTAAATATTAATCCAATTAGAATTCAAACTTACATATAAGAATGAGAAATAAGCATAAGTGACAACAATTCTTATTACCTTACAAGTGATGATAATAAATAGAAATATGAAATAGTTATAAAATCATAAAAATGTTTCTTTTATGGTTTATTTTATAAAGATCACTGCGTTTTCGACATTATTCAACTTGTAGTTGAGTTTCTCAATTTTTCTAACAAGACTTTAATCGTCTTGATGATGTTTATCTTTATCAAGACCAACTACAAGTTGAATAATTCAACTTGTAGTTTCTTAATTTTTGATCAAGATCAAAATTTTTGATCAAAATTTTTGATCTCATTAGAAAAATTGAGAAACTCAACTACAAGTTGAATAATGCCAAAAACCTAGTGATCTTTATAAATAATTACATTTATGATAGTCTAAACCCAATATATACATATATATATAATATATATATCAACATTTGATCTTTAATTTAGTAACTCTACTTTACTCATCATATTACAAATATTTCTAATATTTATTTATAATCACATCATCTATCCTATACTAATCTTCCAATGCAATCATCCAAACTTCTATTTTAAATATGAAATTAGCCGGGCAATATAGGACAAACTTTTTCAGACAATTTTACTTGAAAAAATTTTAAATAAAATATAAAAAAAATTAGTGGGAAAATGAAAAAATATGACACCTTTTAATTTTAAAGTTTAAGTTTGTTTTTTCAACCAGTTGCTTCTGAGAATATAAAAATCTAAAGGTCACCAAAAATTTTCCAACTTCAGGACCAACGTAGCAGACGTTTTGCAGACAAGCGTAACCAATCCCAACCGGTTTTTGATTACACTGATGAATAGGATCACAACACACGCACCAGGAGAGTACGTTCGACTAACTTAACTAGCGTACAGCACACCCACGTTTTCGTCGGAAACTGATGGCCGATAACAACAAATTTCACGGTCAAATCAGTGACGATAGTGCCGACAGAAACTAACGCTAATTTAGGCACGTGTTGGTGAATTAAATAAACAGAAATCAACGTCCGACATGTTTTTTTCCCTAAACAAACAAAAAAACACAGCGCAACAAAGCACATACAATTAACACGCACGTGCTATTTTTGATATCTTTAGGGTTGGCCCTTGGCCTATTGATGGAAAACTGCTCGAAAATCACCACAAAAATATTTTTTTGAAGAATCAATCCATTCAATATCATCATCATATTAATTGTCTTGTTATATTTAATCTATATGACATTAGAAGAACGGAAAGAGCCATGCCTAAATGGAATATGAATAATGTGGAAATGCTAGTATAATAAAAATGGTTCATGAGTAAAAATAAAACAAATAATAAATGTTTCAAGCATTAATCAATTATCTAAAAAACATCATTAACAGTTTAATTAGTAAAATATCAATCAAATAACATATCAATATTAACTTATCAATAAACATCAGCCATAACAAAATGAAAAAAAATATATAAAATAAAATATAGGCAAATTGTCACCGGTCAATTTTTTAACTAAAAATTAAATCTTAAATGAAATAACAATATAATTCTAACTATAAAGATTAAAACATTAGTACACAAATTGTAGTCATCTTGAAACCAAATCAATAAAGTTTATTTTATTCGCTTGGATAAATTTTATTTTATTCGACAGGGCAAATCAAGATCGCAGACAACTGTGACAGTGCCGGGTCTGGAACTTTCATTCTCCTTAATTTTTGATTGCCAAGTAACTTCGCCTTTTCTCTCATCACTATCATTACTACTGACAACTCGATCATCATCATCGTTATCATCCAGACTGTCACCATTGTCATCATCACGGTTGCGAATGCTATCACAAATGTTATCAGATGAGTTGTTCTGCAATAAAGGCGATGACGACGAAGATGTTGTTGTTGTTGATGATGTTAGTGATGTTGATAATGCTATCGTTATAGGAGTTCTTGATTCTTGTTGAACTTTGGAACTTTTCTTCAGGAATAAATGAAAAAAACGTATTAGCTAATGCATAGCTCTAAAATATGAGTTAACTTCATTACATTCCAAAATTTTCAAAATATTGAGTCACAAAAAAACTATCAGATGACATACTAGCTTCATGAATTCAGCTTCAGCCTTTTTATTCTGACAGTCAAAAGCAGCAAATTTCAAGAAATAATACATCTCAGAACAATAATTACATTGCTTATAATCCTCATAAGTCTCAAATGCTACAGCTCCATTTGTTATTTGTTGCAATTGTAATGGCATGTACTGCTCTCTGCTACTACATTTTTCCAGTGCCACTTTCATTTTTTTTTCATCTAATTTCACTTTCAGCTGTCAGTTGAGTGAGTTAAAAACGAAAAAAATATAGTTTAGAATAAATAAATAAATGAAACCTTGGTTTGTTGAGGCAAATCTTTAAAAACTTTCAACACTACATCCTGATCAGTATGTGAAGTTATCTCTAAAAACCAACAATTATCAAAATCCAATAGCTCACAGTCAGGATCCAAATTGCGTTCAGCCATTTTCAGATATTTTTTACCCTAAATTATTCATTCACAGCAAGAATTAAAGGTTTTAAAAGTCAATTAGAAAATTTTTTTAAACTTCAAAATTATGATTCATCGTAAAAATTGGCATATTCATCAGACGGCCAACCATTTATGATTATAAATATATAGAATGTGATAGAATTAAATCACTAAAACAATGAAAAAAATTAAATGTGTATAACACAAAATTAAACAATTCTATTTACTAATTTACTTCATTTTAAAAAACTTTCATTTTTCATCTTAATACAATACACATACTTTGGCAACTTTGTTCTTAACGAGGTTATAGACACCCACCCAGAACTGAGCCCTGCCCAGAAAGTTACTATCATTTTTCTTTTTTTCTGCGGCAAAATAAATGGCGTCTGACATTCCTTTGGCCACGAATTTACAAAACATGAAGGATTTTTTAAATGCCTCTAAGAAATATTTAAATTCAGTCGGAATGGAGACTATTTTAGCATGTGTAATAATTTTACAGTCATCTTTCACGTTTTCGCTGCTACTGGTGGTTGTTGTTGGAGTAGATTTACTTCCTTCACCACTGCTTTCTCCACCATCTTCACTAATCCCGAAAAAGTTTTCGTCGTCATCTTCTCTACAATCCTCATCATAATCAATATTAACGAGATTATTACGAACATTTACGTAATTTTTAAACTTCTCAAGGACATCCTCATTGCGATCTGCCATGATTTTTCTCTTAAAAAAAAAACAATTTTTAAATGATTATTTTTTATTAATTATTTTATTTATTCTTTCATCACGCAAGAATACAGACTCACCTCTAAAACTAAATATGGCAGATGATATCAACACCTTCTTATATATAATAAAACTAAACAATATGATATATGCGTGTGTGTTTGTGTGTGTGTTTGTGTGTGTGCGTGTGTGTTTGTGTGTGTGCGTGTGTGTGCGCGCGTGTGCAAATGTGTGGTGTGTGTATTTAGGTGTGTCTTCTTTATAGATAAATGAATACCAATATATAATCAACATTCATGTTAATTATGAATACTTTCATTAATAAATAGGCTGCTAACTAATTAATCAATTAGTTAGATATGGAAGTAATTAGTAAATAATGATGGTGGGGAATATGTATGCCAGACATATTCATTGTAATTGTTGGTGATGTAATTTTATCACATTAAGACCAAATGATTTCTTTTCAAATCATCTATTTGAGTGAGATTTTGAACTAGATATGGTATCTCTATCTACATGTATATCTATAGTATAGAGCAAATGTTAAACATCGCTTCAAAACATAGCGAAAATATTTATAAACGATAGTGAAAGCATGGAATTTCCGAAGAGCGTATGGTTAGTATGGAAAGGCGAAACGCTTTTTGAGAGGTTAGTTTCATTTTTAAAAAAGTTTCAAATTGTAAAAAAAAACCATATATGTATATTAAAAAAGTATAATTTAAAATAATAAAATAAACTAAAATTAATATATTAAATAGATAATTATTTTATTTTTTCCAGATTCAGATAAAATACCTTTGATAACATAGAAATTGAACTATATAATAGACGTGTCGTCAATCATAATTTAGACAGCTCTAACATTTTAATTATGGTTATAATATAATAATTATTATTATATAATAAAGCTATAATTAAGATAATTAAATAAAAATTCTATTTTTTATAATTTTTGTACAAAGTAACAGAGTTTTTTAAATGTATAACAAACAAACCGACCAAAATGGCAGAGAGTATATGATTTTTTTGTTGTGAAATTTTAAATTGTTATAGGTTTACCTGGTTTTATTATAAAATATAATGTTCAGAACGTCAACGTTAAATGAACTGAGTCGTTAGGTGTCACGAAACTTTTTTGGCCATTTTGAAATTTCAAATTTCGTAATTTTATTCAAGTTTTAATGAATTTTTTGAGGCTAACATCCTGAAAATATTGTTTGCTACTCTCCCAAACAAATCATCTTTAAAATGATTCATTTCACTGCGTGATATTATTATAATAGTTAGAGGAGCTGGGTCCTTTCTGCAGTGACTTGTTTCAAACGCATAGAGATTCCTGCCGGTTATATGCAATGCCAGTGGTGCATGGCTACCAAACGTAGTTAACTGTTCGTTTTTTCTATATATAACAAATTACGATAACACACACACAAACAAACACACATACACGATCCACACAAACACACACACCACGCACAAACGCACACACCCCAAACAAACACACACAAATACACACACCACACACAAATACATACACAACACACAAATACACACACCCCACACGAACACACACACACCCCACACAAACACACACACCCTACACAAACACACACACACCACACACAAACACACACACACCACACACAAACACTCACTCATAAAACACACACCACACACACATGTACGACAAAAACATATGCATAATATATAAGTGTATGTAACTTTATTAAATTTTAACATGTGTTTATTGATATTTACACTTTCTCTCAATGCTATTGGTCCATACAATTGAAATTGAGCCAATAGCAAGAAAGAGATTGTTTAAATTTGTTTATTTTCAGCCAATGAACACCTCGAATGTTTTTAAATTAGCGCGTTTTATTATGTGGTATATTTTTGCTTTTTTATTTTATAATAAATGAAATTGTGCATATTTAACAATTACTACAATTGTAAGTGTGTTTGTTTGTTTGTGTGTGTGTGTGTGTTTGTGTGTGTGTGTGTGTTTGTAACTAAGTGTGCTTGTGCGTGTTATGTTTTTACGTGAGTATCAACGTTGAGGATTGTTGGTGAGAATAAATGCGCTTCTATGTATGTGTATGTATGTATGTGTGTATGTCTGTGTATCTGTGTGTGTGTATGTGTGCGTGTGTGATTTCGTACATGTGATCATGTAATGTTTGACTTACTGATTGTAAGTGTTTTATTTGAACAACAACAATAATTTATTTTTAAATAGGGTCAATATATATGGATTGAAAAAAAATCTTAAATAATTTTTTTTTTGAAAATTTAAATTTAATTCACTGTTTGCATATGAAACTAAAATCGAAAAAATTGTTTCGTCAATTTTTAACGTGTGTGTTTATTTTGGGAGCAATATACAAACATACTTACATACATACTATTTAACTCTATATAATTCTATATATAATAATTTTATACAACTTCATATAACTCTATATAACTCTATATAATTCTATACAACTTTATATAACCTCATGTATTTCTATATAATTCTATTAAACTCCATATAATTCTATATAACTATATCTAACTAAATACAACCCTATATAACTTTAAATAACAATATATGTAACTATATATACACCTATACAATTCTATGTAACTCTATATAACCGTATATAACTCTATATAACCTTAAATAACTCTATATTACTCTATATAACTCTATATAACCTTATATAACTACATATAACTCTGTATACATACGTACATACATACCTACTTACATACATACACACTTACTTACGTACATACATTCACACATACATACATAAATATACAATTAATGGCTGAAAGATGAGCCCAATATAAATGACAGATTTGGATTTAATGTTACTTGCATTATTTAACTGTTTAATAACAATTTGGTTAGCTGTAAAACTTTTTAGATTTTATTTAAATAAGTAATTAATTTATAGGTTTATTTAATCATTCATTTATTCATTTGTCAATTGGTTCGTTCGTTTGTTCGTTCGTTCATTTGTATGTTTTTATGTGTTTATACTTCTTTAATGCAAATTACGAATTATTAACATAACGTTTCGTTTGATTTAAAAAGATAACTCTCACGAAATAAAGCCACAAGATGCCCTTGTCTCATCATTATAATCATCTGTATCATCACCACCATCATCATCTTAATTACGATGATGACGATGATGATGGTGACGATATACATCATCATCAGCATCAACAACAATATGAACAATACCTTCCTCATCATGACCACCGCCAGCAACAACAACAACAACATCAACAAGCACATCTTCAACATCATCAACAACTTTCAAGTATGTACTACACGGATCCATCACTAACTTCTTCCGGTATCCCATTTTATCTTCCTCCATCCGTCAACAATTTTAGCACCGGTAGACCTCCCTATCCTTATCCCTCTGCAGCTACATACGGTCCCTACAATTCCTCCCTCCAGGATCAGTATCCCGTCGGAGAGTTGAATATCAGTATGGCGGAAACGTCTGGATTATCTCTCAACTCCTCCATCACCACCACCACCACCAACAACAACAACAACATATACGATTCAATCTAT